GGCATCGAGATGACTTTAAATCATTTCAATTTTAATTCATTTTAAAAGTGTGATTTGAAGACCTGGAAATGTAAATTGTAAATTCATGAAAATCTTTAAACGCCTTTTTATAATGAATATATATTTTTTAGATATGCCAAGCTTAAACATTTTTACAGCTAGAAATTGCAATTAAAACATATTCATATTAAGTAGGCTTTGGATAGTTGTAGGTTGAGAACCACTGAACTAAGGGTTCCTCAGCCTGAAAAACTTTGAAAACCCCTGCTGTAATGTAAAAAACTTGGTCTTAGTCTGAAGACTTTCACAGTTATTTTCACAGTCCTGTCCAGCATGGAGTCCAGAGACAGGTTACATATATATATATATATATATATATATACTGTATATAGCTTATGAGGTATTTATGAGAACAGCAATCATCAGTTGATCTACTTGAATCCTGAACACAAACATTTTGTTTGTCACACAGTCATGCTGCATGATATGTATGAATATGAAGCATCTTCCAGAAGCATAAAACAAAAATTGGTGTAGAAACACTTATCACATGGAAATTGAGTACATTTCAACAATTACAAAGAAATGGCAAGTAACACACTGAATTAAACGTGAATTTTTTAAAGGTGACATATTATGCCCCTTTTTATAATATGTAATATAAGTCTCTGGTGTCCCCAGAATGTGTCTGTGAAGTTTCAGCTCAAAATACTCCACAGATCATTTATTACATAATTTTGAAAATGCCTATTTTGAGTGGAAGCAGAAACAAGCTGTTTTTCGGGCCTGTGTCTTTAAATACAAATGAGCTGCTGCTCCCCGCCCCCTTTTCCAGAATAGCCTTTGCAGCTCCTATCTGCTAAAAACATCTGTTTTGGTTCTGATTACCATGTTTATCGTGCTGAAATCATGCGTTTTAAACCATACGAGTTTAAACTTCAGATATAAGGTTTTCTGAGCGCACACATCTGAAGCACACGGACAGAAAGCGGCTGTCACAGCATGTGAGTACTAAACTAAGCTCTCATTCACACACAAGTTTACGTTAAAAACACACGAGTTACAAAAACAGTTGGTTATGTCTGTGAAGGTAAACAGCTGGGAAATAAATCGCATGTTTATTTTAGATCTGTGTGGCAGCAGCAATATACAGTAAATAAATCAATAAATCCACTGCTGTCTTGTCTCCTCTGAGGCTGGGACTCTAAATAGTGTTCTGTGCTCGTCTGTGCAGCCAAAAAGACAGAACAGTTAACATGTTTTGCTCAAACTTTCGGCATGGCATTAGAACTGGTACACCGTTGTAGCTTGCGAAATCAAAATGACGGCACCTTGAGTGGAAGCTTACAGATTAAGGGGCGGTAATATTATAATAAAACCTGGAAAAGTCAGATTTTCATGATATGCAATAAAGCAGACTTGACTTGACATGTCACCTTTAAAGTAAATAATAACTGAAATAGTCTTTTCTTGTAAATCATTTGCCAAAAATCTTTGTTTTACAACTTCTGAAAATTATTTTTAGTCTAGCAATTACACTCAAACTAGACAAAAAAAATTCAACTATGCGCTTTTGCAATACATCATTTTATCATACATCAGTATAAACCTGAATCTTTATCCAGTTTCCACAACATAATACGGAAACACCATTCCAATGCTGTAATGTAACTGAGGTGGAAGAGTACTCGCCTCTTTCATACCTGAATTATGAATCAGCCTAGGCCAAAGCAAGAGGACATAGCAAGGGAAGGTAAAATTTAACTTTTTGATTTAATTCTACACAAATCATGTTTCGCAATACTTACTTATTCACTGGAAAAGAGTTCAGAACATGTACTACACGGTTCTCAAACCGACAATGCATTCACTGGGTGTAAGCACAAAAATCGACCTTGAACGTCGCCATCGGTTATGAAATGTGCCATTTAATTTGGAGCTACCTTTTTTGCACCTTTAATATCTGCAGGGTGCGTTCAGTTTACAATATACACCCTCAGTGTGAAACCACACGACAAACATGTCTTACACTAGAATAGGGCTTTTTTATGTGGACCACTTATTATAAATTCGATTAAATTAGAAAACTCATTTTCTTCATCACACTAGGACCCCACGGACTCCCAACAACATCTGATAAAATGAAGGAAGGGTTCACATAAAGGACACAGAGAATCAACTTTCCTCACTCCTTCAAAGCTAATAACCCTTATACTGTTGATAATATAATAAGATTTGATGTAAGAGGTATGTTTGGACAACAACTGAATTTTTCAACCTTATTTTATTAAATAAATGACTGGATAACACCATATTTTCAATAAATAAAAACATGTCTGGCATTTTAGGAGGTTTTCAGTCAGCATATGTATTCATGGTGCATTGACGATTGCTAGTATTGCTGTAAGTCTTGCTGTAGAAATATTGCTGGCCTGGGAGTCTAAACCTCAGCTTTGCTACTTAATTCCTGTGAGCAGAAATGGAGATAGTGAAAGATAATATCATATCATATCCCTGGGCTTTGGCCAGGCATTTTCCTCTCCATAAGTGTGGGCTTTGTCCCTCCCAATGGAAACACAGTTTTGGAGAGGCAATGGGCTGTCACTTCTGCCTCAGAAGTCCTGAGAGACGAATTATGATGCTGTGGTTATGGAGACGGCACTTTTGTCTTTTCTTTTTATGTTAGAATAAGAGAATAAAAAAGTATGTCTCAAAGAGTTCAACTGCTCCTTATTATAAAAGATATGTGCTATATACAGCATGATCTGAACATCAGCTCTTTTGAAATCTCAATTATTGCGATTTTATCACAAATTCTGATGTGAATAAGACAGTCCACAAAGATGAACCTCAACAGAAAGTGCAACTGTAATATGGCAGGCTTTCCACAGGAGTCAGTGGAGTCAGGATTCCAACCAGAGGTGACCAACCAATTTCACTGCCCCTAATACTGAGAAAATGGCTTAATTTTAAAAACATGGCATGAGGCAGGGAGGCTCACGTGTGAATGCTGACAGGAAATAATGTTCAAATGAGCAAACTTTGAAGTTGTTCTACTCCCTTAGTTATCACTGAAAACCACACTACAGCGGGACAGTTCAGACCATGAAGCATCTATAATGAATGAACAGTGATGCTGTTATATCTGGCATTCCTTTCTCTCTTTATACGGTTTTCCACTGGCTAGCTAGCAGGCAGAGAATCTTAATTAATAAACACGCCATAATAATAGAAATTAAAGATGAGCCTCTTTTCTCTGCACAAGAAAAACAGTGTCAAGGAAACATCAATAATTAACATCTTACTCTCACTCTGCTCTCTCCTAACAACTGTTTATTAGTCCAGCTTGTTAGACGGTACACTAATGAATGGCTAAAAATAAAAACTTATAATGTATTTTTCATCTATAATCCTAAATGATAATTCTAGAATTTAATATAGACAAATAGACAAGTTTAAACTAAAAGAATGATATTTGGCTCTTCACCAACTACAGCAAATGTCATCTGAAGTCTTGGGTGGACAAAGTACATATCCAGGGTTAAAGAAGAGGGAAGCCACTTATTACAAAAAAGACATCTGCTTTTGTGTCATGTATTTGCATTCCAAGGAATATGAAAGAGAATATTAAAACTACCATTGTTCCGCACAAAGATGATCTAAGCAGCACCTGGAGGAGAAACTTTAAAGGGGCAGACTCATTTCAAAGGCTTAAAGTTTAAGCATTTAAAATGAGTCTGTCCCGATAAGTTTCAGGTGCTGCTTAAACAAATGGTTAAATACTTATATGTAATATAATAAAAAAGGAAAATTATTGCATATGTATTATTATGTTAATAACAATGATTAGAAAAATACAATTAGTACAAATGGTTGCTCTTCAGTTCCTCAAAGCAAGTCAAGTCACATTTATCTATATAATGCTTTATACAATACAAGCAGCTTCATAGTAATGAACAGGAAAATAACATGGTTGATATAGCAAAATTCATTATGAAAAAACACATGCATTAAAATAACTTTGATTACTTATGTGGGCATAGTGATTTTATGGAGAGTGTCCACTAAACTTACAAAGACTGTAAAAATGAAAAAGTTATGAAACATTCCGCTTCTTTTCTTTGTTTATTCAATGCACTGTACAGAACAACCTGTACCCTACATGTAGAGAAAACCTACTTACGCAAGATCATTCAGTCAACAAGAATTCTGAAAATAAATAATACTCATGATACTAATCTAACTTACTTTGCAAAATGTTGTTTCCTGGTACATAGGACTGCACATTTCATATTATAAGTCTAAATCAATCGGTCGTTCGTGTGGCTAGATAGGACAGGTAATAATCCATCAATTGCCCAGGGCACTACACTAAATCCGAATATGTTCAAGGGTTAGCACTACTGTCTCAGGAAATTACACCGATCACAACAGGTGAAAACAACGACGATCAAAGCGCATTTGACTGAAAATTGACACAAATAAATGCAGGTTCTCACATATGTTACAGGTAAATACAGGTTCTCAGGACTGTACAGTGATACATAATTGATCGTTTGCAGTAAATGAAACAGCTGTGAGATTGACGAAACCGAGAGCAATCTGTCAACAGTGCCTCGTGCCACCGAAATTTACCTTTTTCGGGGTCATCATTGCTTCTTGGAACAACAAAGATCACACGAAAATTTTACTGTTGAGGTCTCTCAAATTAAACACCAAGTATGATACTATGAAATGTAATTACAGTTCCTGTGTTCCTTATCATGTAAACATCACAGCACGCGTTCACATTCATCGCTCGCGCTAAAACGGGCTTTTCGCACGTCACAGCAGCATCAAATCTGAGAAAGTACAACACCACTATATAATCCGGTTTTCTAATGTTGCTCATGCGTTTGACAAGTATCTCCAACAGTGTAGACAGAAGGGTTAGTTTGGAGCCGCGCTCATAACCGCTAAACAAACTAGCAAAGACTTTGACTTCATTTTTATCAACATACCTGTAACTCTAAACTGTAGTCCTCGTATAAGTGCGTTGGGTACACGGTCAGATGGTGTTGCACTTGGAGAGAGAAGGTGTAATCCATTGACTGTGTGATGTGGGCGCGTGTGGAGAATAGAGGATGCTCGTGTACAGCTGCCTGCGGTCCTTTAGTTCAATTGCAGAGCGTTCTCCGCCTCGCCGTCCTCCATTGGCTGGATGGCTGGAGTAGTTTTTTCCTGCAGTAGTGGCTATACAAGTTGGGATAGATAATAAGACAATAGTGCACAAATCAAATGAGAAAGCGCAAAGATAATATGAAACTGAAAGATGAACGTGAATTAAGTCAACATTCAACAAGGCAACAGATGTTTGTTTTTTTTTAGTTACAATTATGCTTTATTAAGTAAATACGAGTCACCTAAAGAAAAACGGTACAATTACGTCTTTTAAATCGTCGTGCACCTGTTTTATGCCACATTGTATGTTATTTAGTTCATAGTTAAAGGAATAGTTAACTCATAAAATGGAAATTTGCTGACAATGTATCATGCTCAAGACATCCAAGATGCAGGTGAGTTTGTTTCTTTATTGGAACAAATTTGAGGAAATGTAACACATCACTTGCTCACCAATGGATCCTCTGCAGTGAATGGGTGCCGTCAGAATGAGAGCTCATACAGCTGATAAAAGCTGTGTTGTGAAGTGAAAAGTTTGTTTAAAAAATATAAATTCATCAAAGACATTTTTCGTTTCAAACTGTTAAACCAGTTACAATAGGAGTCTTCAATCCATAATTTTGCTTTCTTTAGTGAAAATGGCATTAGCATTATTTTAGTCTCACGTGTTGATGGTGTTTTTATTTTTGCATGGGTGCCTCCGTCTGCTACACATTTAATAAGTCATTATTCATTGAAAGTCCAGTTATCAGCTGCATGTAGTCATTATCAGTATAGGGTAAGTTAACTACATAAATGGGCTTTAGTAACATTTTTGCAAATAAATGTTAGTGGGCTTGTTCTAATACCCACAGTTGCATTCTTGACCATTTGGCATGAGCACACAACAGGAAGTGAGTGTGCAAAACTGTCCCTGGTCTGAAAACATTCCAATGCTCAGGCCCTGGGAGATTATATTTAGATTCTTTTTTTTTTGTTATTTTTAAGGGTAAAGTATTGACAATCAAAATGTGTAGATAAATCTCTGTAAAAATTGTACATTTTTTTACACCACTATGTTATAGAAGTGTGTCCCACTGGGTAATACATTTTTTTTACACATGGTTTACACTTCATACCCACTTGAACACTTGGGCCAAATAAAGGAAATACATGTAAGTAAACAAAGTGCAAAGATTGCAAGTGTGCGTATTGCAGGCCTATATCTCCCTTTTCTTTTGATTTGTTGTTGTTGTTGTTGTTGTTTTTTCATTGAAGTGGACTATTGTTTAGCAGAAGATTTAAGATAATATTTAGGTAAGATAATTAAAAATCAATTCAAATCAATATTTAATTTAATAAATCAATATGTTCACCTATTTATTTATTTGCAGATCACCCTGTTGCAGTTATTTTGCAATTTCATTTTTTAGCCTCCTGTCATCATCACTATATTTTTATGGTGAATTTCTGGGAACTACTGCTGCAAGGTTGTTTGTTGTTGTTGTTGCTTTTTTTTAATTGAACGTGTTTTTTTTCATCGTGAATCTATGAATGAAGTCCTTTTCATATCTGATAACAGGTTTAAAAACTAATGCATGGCCTGCATTTTCGTATGTAAATGTTTACCTTGAAAAGGTTCTAAAGAAAACATACTGCTTTACTCTGAAAAATCCATCGACCTTCGAGTGAATTTTGATTATGATTTGAAGTGATGCCAGGCTGTGTGGGGAGCAGTTCATGAGGATGTCACTAAAGAGGATGTGGCCTTAGGCTAAACTTGACTTTGAGATCCTTTGCAAAACAGCAAATATTCCCTTTTGCTACTGAGTGCTACAAAACCATTCATCAGATAGACAGCCACACATCTTGTCAAGTCAAATTAAAATTCTAAAGGAAAATTATTCATATTGTGACATAATAGACCCAATAGACCTATAAACATGCCCAATTGATTTTGTTCATTCTGCTCAGCATTGTTTATTTCATGACATCCGTTCATTATTGACGTAATTATCTCTATGAACGGTATTCTGTCATTAGTGTTTCTTGTCTACATGGTTTATTAAACCATAAAAGCCTGAAAGATTGCTTTATACTTGGGTTTACATGAACGAGTGAAAATCGCTCCACTCACTTCCTGTGTCTGTAGAGTCACTCAGCATCAAATCTCATTTTCAGGTCACCATGTCTGGTAACAAGCCAATCCAGACTTAGGCCGGTGTTACATGAGCTGTCACACTCTGAAAACGTGTGAGCGTTCACTCAACAAGCTTCACAACCTCCTTTAAACAAGATTTGAGAATCTGTGCTCCAAACTTGTGAGGTGTATAATGTAGGCAAAAGTATGACAGAAGAATAAATGGTGTGTGGCCTATAAATAAAATGTATTTTCAATCTCCCCATAGTGTGCTAGTTCTCACATACCATATGCACCTGATATATCTGGACTTTATTTCTTGCCATTTTTGGCACCGATGCTTCTGTTTGAATAAATGGTGTGACCATTTAAAAGGAACAGACAACTATCTGAATGGGGAAGGGACAAATGTCTTGAGGATTCATTTGAGGACATATTAAGAGCACAAAGCCGTTTGCAACTGACCAGCTGTTGTTGCTGTGGTCTCAGATAGACTGTTCAACTGTCTGACACATATCGCACACAAAAATTTTACATTTACATTTATGCGCTATAGCAGATGCTTTTATCTGTGTAGCTATGCTTTTATCCGAATATGAACATCTGGATTCTTCACTGGTTTCTATGCAGAAGATTTAATCTGACCGCAAGATTTGTCTCAGCTTGCAATTTTCATATTTTCGAGCTTAATTGTATATTCAGAAAGTCATGAATTTGCATGAGTAGATGATGGCAGAATTTTCTTTTCTGGGTGAATTTTCTTTTTAAATTAAAATTCGTCAGAGCAACTAAAAAATTATTTAGTGAATCTTTGATGTCTGGCCTACTAAAAGAACTGAAAGGGCTGCATATCTTAAAACATAAAAAAAAAAGATTTTTCCAAAAATAAAAAGGCTTAGGCATTACTTTTAAAAGATGATATTTGGGTTTGTTCATGTTCAGTTCAGTCTAAACCAGAAAACTTAGCAATACAAATCCACCATGTTAAATATAATAATAGAAGGTTCTTATTTATACCAACCCAATCATACAATAGATTCCTTTATTACAGCAAAAAGGCTAAATCTGAGTTCTAAGCCTACTTCTCTATTCTGAGATTCTGGTGAATGCCTTGGAGAAAAATCTCCTGTGGATTGCACATTCTATTCTTCCTTTCTTATTCCACTCTTAGTCTCATAGCTGGCTACATTCAAATTCCCATCAGCTCATTTACATTCTCTACAGGAATTCTGGGTAAATAGGCATCTAGAATTCAAATGTAGAAGCTGCTGGTTACTGCGTGACTTTCACTGTTCAATGACCATCTCATACCAGCATAATAAATCACAAAGGCAATCAAAGCATTCATGGCAGATTTAGACAGCATTGCGGTTTGAGAAGGCCTAAATGGCTGAAGCAATTAAAAACTCTTTTTACATAGCAAATAGAGAATGTGGGACAATGTGGCTCATAAATTAGGCTAAAATGAATATCCAATATATGTGAAAGCAGATAACATACAATTCTGCAAACTTAGCTAGTCATGTATTTTTATTTGTATTTCATCCTGCATCTGTTCCATGTTCTGCAGCCAGAGTGAGAAACAGTTTCTTTGAGCCAAAATTAGTTTGTTCATGCCCCTGCCAGATCCAAATGTGACATGTCAGGACATACACTTTAGACCCAGCCTGGGGTCCTTTACAGATGACACCCACGACCCTGTCTCTTGTACTTTTTTAATTTTGTCATCTGGGGGTCATTAAAAAGCCATGCCCACTGTAAAAAAAATAAATAAAAAAATACTTCTGGCAGGATGGACATTACTGTAAAACACCAAGCATAAATACAAACAACAAGTAAAACACTCAAAATGAAAAAAAAAAAATCCTTCATATTAATACAGTTGTGCCCTGTTTTTACGGATTTTTTTAGAGTGCATTTTTACTCAGGAAAATCTGGTTTTGAGCAATTAATTTGAATAAATGTAATCTATTATTTATTTGCTCATTTTAAATGTATTATTATTATTACTGTTATTATTATTTTCAAAAAAAGACGTTAAGCAGGATTAAGGGACTATAACATAATTAAACAAAAATAAAAACAGTTGCCAGCATTTAATATATTGTAGTTAGCATAATAGGTTAACTTGGATGATTTTCAGGTCATATTTCTTACATGAAAATAGAGGTTTTGCTCTTTACACTGACAATGTGGTTGCTAAGCTCAGTACGCATGGCATTTATGTCAGTTTTAAAAGTATTTACGACACAGGTTACAGCCTTATTGATAAGAGCAAGGAAAGAGAAGAAAACATGTGAAGACTGCAGGTTTGCTCTTTCATTCAGGCTTTAGGCAAATGCACCTCAAAAGTTAAGCTAATGTTCTGCTTCACAGCCACTGCACAGCTTTCTGCCTGAGCACACATGCACACACGTTTTCACACATGTATGCATACGCACATACCAGTTTCCATACGGCTGTGGCTGACGGGGAACCAAGGTCACCTACAGTGATATCACAGCTTCTTCCTTAGGCAACTCCAGTCCCCCAACACAAACACAGAGAGAAAAGAAAAAGAGGAGAAATGGGGGATGGGAACTGATGGGCTATTGGTCCACTGGGGAAATTTGCTATACAGTACATGCAGATGGACATGCAGTGTGACAATTGATACGGCAATGGATTTGATCCCAGTTTTATCCTTCATGCTTTGTAACTTAACATAATATACTGCAGGATTTAGCAGAATGTTCCAGTGAACGTAACAAAGCATTCAATAATAAAGACGCATTCAACAAATTATGTCATTTTGCACTAATTTGACAAAAAGCACAAAGGTGTTTCTTGGGGAAGCTTGTTTCTGCCGCAGGAAAGAAAGAAAGAGAAAGAATGAATGAATGAGT